GCACTGGTATACAGAAAATTAAACATAGAGATCCTCTCAAATAAATGAAATTTTATCCAATGGGTAACATCAGAAATCAAGACTGCCTATTAATTGCAACAAAATCAACAACTTGCAGAATTCTAATCACTGATCAGATAACACTCATCCAAACTATCGAGATAAATTTTCATCATAGTGTGACACGATATCTTCAGTCAATAATTCCCTGATGCTGCTGACCTGTTTCATCCAACCATTACCCTATGTGGCTAATAAACACTTGAAATGAGGCTTCTGTTATGAAAGAAAATTTTTATTTAGTTAAATTCACATAAAAATTACAAGTAAAAAATGATACCCATGATTAATATGAAATAATAAAAATTTCCATTTATTTTTTCCCCTTATATATATATATATTTTATGCAGCTACTGAAAAAAACTGAGTACACTATGTGGCTAACATAACATCAACTCACAATGCTCCTCTAGATTATTATCTCAACATATTACATGATATAAATTTCTTATAAATAAAATGTACTATATGAATTGTCTTGAATATCTGCTGAACACCGCTTTCACAATATCAGTTGGCAGCCAATTTCACCATGAAATACTCTCTCCACAATGCAATTTGACATGTGAGGCAGCATATTAACGAACAATATTTTAACACTGGATCGACCATAGTGCTAAAAATACATTTTAGCACTGGATTGACTATAGCATTTGCACTTTGGCAGATGAGAATGATGGTTTGGTAAAACAATCGAAACTAGTCCTGTGAAAATTTTCAAATATAACGCTGATTTTTGTTGTTAGACTTCTATATTCATATTTGTTCGACATATTATTTTAATCTAAATCACAGTGATACCACTCTCCAGTTACCAAAGTACCAAGTTTATATTGTATTTTAAAAGTTTTAGGTAGTATTTTCAAACCTGTATTGCAGTGATGAACTAATTAACATACTAAACCTGTATTGCAGTGATGAACTAAGTGAGATTACTTCATATACTGACAGATCTGATAAAAATTTTATGTGACTCAATATTAAAAATAGCTCAGAAGTCCAGCCACATTTATATTGTCATCATTATTGCTATATTGACATTAAGAAATTCTCATTTTAAAATTAAGATAAAGCTCAGCAGAATACCTAAATACCTGGCTTTTTGTAAATATGATGACAAAAAGAAAATGGAACACGAGCAGAACCTTGCATAGTATTGCCTACGTATATAAAATCTTAACTATCATGTTCTGCCAAAAGAACTCCTATTTCGGCAGACAACCTATTGCAGTAACAAAGATAATAAAGTTTTTTTTATTCAGCACAGCACATTCCTATATCACAGCCATTACTTCTAGATATATCTCTGGCATATCAATATACTCATATAATATAAAAGAAAAAACTTGAGGGGAAGTTGAAGTAATAAAACAGATAAAATCAGAAATTCAGATTTGATAATGTCTATGATGAGGTAATAATAAAAATATATTCCGTTTTGGGACAGTATGGATTATTCGCTTATCCTGTTTTCAGTGAAATATAATATGTAATTTTTAATATATTTCATTCACAGTACAAAACTATTTTACAGCAATAAAGCTTTAAAAGCTTGATATCTAATACATGTGCATAATATGCAATTTATATTAACTTTTTTGGCTTTTTAGGTTAACAACATACCTCATCACATTAAATTTTTATTAAAAATAAAGATAGGCATTAAATTTGTCTTTATTAGAAAATGCATAAAGATATATTTATGAGCATGCACAAAACAGGCTCATTAATTAAGATATTTAACCAGTTAAAAATGACTTAACATTCTGCCCCTTTTCATCTTTCTTCGCAATTTCAAATTATAAAATTTCCAATTAATGCAAAAATGCAGGACCTAACTCAGATTAGAGGATTCCAAAATGTGCATGTTTTCAAAATAATTTATTCTAACAAATCTCTTTAGAATATAACAGAGTTAGATAATAATTAAATGCTCATTAATGATAATATAGAATTTATTTACCATTATACTCTAATAAATGTACTTGTATGTATAAAACTTTTATCATAGAATATAAGATATGTCCCACTTCAGGCTTTCCCAGATGAAGTTTTTTTGAAAAATCTTCATTTCAGCCCCTTACTATACACTAAATAACGGGATTCCTGCTTCAACTTTTCCTTTCATGTTCCATGCTAAAGTAAAAATACCCAATGAAGTACATAGGAAGTGATGTTATGATGATACTTAACTCTTTAAACTTTGTGTTCAGACACTCTTTAGATATGATATTATATGGCAAACATAAAAGAAATTTTGTTAAGTAAAATTTATGATAAAGCATGTTATTTCTTTCAGCCTCTTTCTTTATATACCTGTTCTATGCCCCCAAACTTCTCCCTAGCAACTACAATGAAGGAACTGAAATGATAATTTTTGAGTCTCACTCGAATATATACAAAAAGAAAGAAAAAGCATGAAGTGGCATTACTTTTGTTACCATGACAGAAAGCCTGAAATACGATATGATACAATATTAGTACATACCTAATTAATTTTTGCTCTCTTTAAAAACTCAATTATTCGAGACATTTTATCATAATTGCTGATAACATCAATGCATTTCTTTAAAGCACAAATCCTCTTTTTATTACACTCATGTAAATCATTTTCATTAGGCTATTTAGTTGTTTTCTTACTTTTCTGATTATTCCTGTAGCTTTTCTTATGCACAAGAATTTGGAGAAATAGTAAAATGGCATATATAAGTTCAAGCTTGTATCAGACTGATTCTTGATGTTTTAACGCAAAAGCTTTCAAACTTTTAAAATTTTGAATAACAATCAAGAACATACGTACCATCATAAAAAGCATTTTCCAACTAAAAAATAATGCAACCTAAACGCAATGTTTGTAATCAAAGAACAAAACATTTTTAATTTATGTTATTAAGATACATTCATTAATGAAACTTTTACATTATTATAAAACATAAATATATGTTATGATTCACTATGCTAAATTCTTTAAAAAGTGTGCAACTCATTCCAATATTAACCCCACACTGTCGTAGGCACCAAAAATGGAAAAAAAAATATAAGTGAATCTGAAAAAAAAAAAAAAAAAAAAAAGACTAAAAGGAAATGCTAAAAGGGGCACCCTGTAATGTAGCTTCTGTTAATTAACCAGTCATTATGATTTTGATCTTTACAATAACTTCCCCCTTTCATATTCCTCACCAGACAGTAAATTTGAATATTCAAGCTGAAGATTTTGAATCTTAGAGGAAGAGAGCTTATGGCACTCATGTCTGCTGCAAATTTCTTTGCCAGCTCTACTGAAAAGGGATATCCCACTTTTGTCATTCCTTTGCTAGCCAATACTTAAATAACTGAGGTAGCTTATACCTTACCTTATTGAATGTACAGTCTTAGACTAAGTTATCAGCAATGAAATGAATTGAACATGATTAAAACAGAGAAAAATTTAAGTCCTATTATGGCAGTTATTATATTAAATTACTCAGTTGCATTTAGAAGTTTTTTGGGGGTGCGGTTAAAATAAAAAGATAAAACAGTGAATATATTAATTGTTAATATTAAATGCAAGACATATAGCTTTTCCCAGAAGTTAGTAAATAGTAAACATTAAAAAGGGAAAATAATAAAATCATAATTTAGAAGCACATTACTTGAATAAAAGGATTTTAAATATCAACTAGATGGAAAGAAAAGAACAATTCACCATTACACAACAATAAAATATTTTAAAGAACTTAATAATGAAGTTCTCAGTCAATGTAGAATTACTTATTTGCTCTAGTTATTTACTATATAATTCTTTTTATTGAATCATATGAAATGCTTTTTGATCACATATTTAGTGAAACATATGCAAATGTTTATATACTTTTTTGTTAGCTACTATTTTTGGCTTTCATTAATTTTGGTTTTTCTCACAAATGATTTTTTTTTTTAAATTACTATAAAACAAGAAGCTTCATTTTGCCATCAGTGTGTCAAATATAGAGCTGTATATAATTTCCTAATTTTGTGCAATAAACAAATTGAAGAAAATTTCTAAGGACTGCCTTTTTCATAAATAAGTTATGAGTAAATATCAACTCTTTCTAGAAAATACATAAAATATTATACACACCCATACATAACAGCCATAATTGTCAATAACCTTAAATCAATATCTGAAACCAATTGTACCTTTAAGTAAAAATTTAATGCAGCAAATATTGAGCTTATATTAAAATAACATACTATCCATTTAAATGCTTAAAAAAAAAAAAAAAAACTTCCTTAAAAAGCTAATTTTCACAAATTTAGAAAAATTAATTTTCACACATTTGGAAAACTCTTATTCCAAATCTGAACTTTAAGTTGTTGATAAAAAGAGGTACTCATTAACTGGCAAATCTAAACAGCATAAGCATATGCCATGAAAAAGTGTTAAAAACACTGGATATTGTATATAAAACTCGACTGAATAAATCTATTCTATGCACAATTTGTTTCAATTGATCATAGAGTTGATCCGACGTAGAAATACGAGTATAAAAAGCTACTTTTATTTTACAAAAATCAAACAAATTTGTATTCAAAGGAATATACAAAACTTGTAAACCTTTAAATTTTTCTTCCCTGACATAAGAATCTTATGCATTCTAACTACAAGATATGAGAAAATTATTTTTTTTAAATCCTGCACAGATACAGAATATGATAAATTATCACTTTGAGTAATTACCAAATGAAATATTCAGCATGCTACTACTTATTGTACAATACACATGTCAGAATAATATATCAACAAAATGAAATTAAAGTTTTGCTGCTATGCCCAATGATATCACTAATCACTTAATACGGTTTTATTTCAAAATTTGAATTACAGCAAAACAACTACTTTGAGTGAGGGAATTTAAATGAAGCCCACAAATATGTAGTGAACTATCCACAAATATGTAGTGAACTATCCACAAATATGTAGTGAAGAAATTTTTTTAATACTAAAATAAAATTCAGAAATTCACACAACTCAGCATTTGTAAAAATTATTTACACATTCCCAGGGAATCAAATTAGGAATGATGCAAAGATATTAAACTTAAAAATTAAAAATACAATTTATCCCATTTTCAATCACATAAAAATGCTTGCGACGCAACACAGAGGTGCATGCAGATACTAATTAAAAGACAAAAACTGGATTTGAAAAGAAAAATTATTGCTACATAATTTATTTAAAAAGATTGTCAGTGCTTGATTAAAATATATACATGCAACAAACTCAAGGCAAATATCAAATTGGTATAAATCAATAATTTATAAATACTAATATATTAAAAGACTACACAGCTAAATGATATGTTCAATCAAATTAATTTTTTAAATGAAAATAATTTGTTTGATAATAATGCATCCATGATAAAACTGCACAAAATAAAGGAACAAATAATAATAATACATGTTGAATCCTATAACCTTTAATCAAATAAAAGTAAACACAATGAAACTACTTAATAGAAACATTTAGCCATTACAATTTAAAACCAATATTCAAACTGACAGTTCAAAGCAAAAGACAGACTCATAATTTAGATTATTAACAATCAATATCTGTTTAAAAAATCAAGTTTAGCACCTTCAGAAACCTATATCCAAAAGTATAATTTTTATATTTTAGTATAATACTATTTCTACAAAAGCTATAAAAACAATTACTGACCTAACTAGTTAAACTTATTGCATAACACAACTATGATAGAATACATTAAAAATGTCATAAAAGCACATACAGCATATGATGTTAAATGTAATGCCAGAATAATTGTAACAGCAGATGATCATCGATGGAGTCACATATATAACACGAATACATACAGGAAAACGAAATAACAGATATACCAGGGGTGATTAGACCTCACAGGTATAATGGGATTTTTTTCATTCTGCATGAAACAAATCTCACATGGCACTTTTCATGGGTTTTATTAACCTTACAATAATTCAAGATTATATGAATTTCAAGCATTTCATCTGCTTATAGAACAAAAATTTTTATAAAGAATTATATAACTCATGACAGTTATATATGAAAAATCTGAATAAAAACATACAAATTGGAAAACACATGCTTTAAAAAAGCATGCTTATAAATTATTCTCTAACTTTATACAGCACTGACACAGAAGTTCCAGAAAATTAAAAACATATATCAATAAAAAATTTAATGATGTTGAAATTTAAAGCATTTAATTATGTAGATGATGATATGCTGTAACTCTGAATTAAGATGGAAAATCACCCCTGCACACTGACATTATAATACAAATAATAAAATGGAAGATAAACAATCAGGCATAGCACATAAAAGTACAAAACACGCTGTGCAGTGAATATCAAGTTTGATGGCAGTTTTCACTTCTTCACTGATGCACAGTTTCAAACAATTGTGCATAGTAAGTAACAGTTACTATAGAACGAAATGTAACAAATAAAAAAATAAAACAGTCCTAAAAGAAATTCTAATAATGGAATCACAGCTTGCAAGAAGTACACTCGGCACTTCATTCTGCCCAGAAAAGTCAGTTTTTGGGGCTATAATACATTATTAGTAATAGTCACTTCAGTGTGCTTCTTTTAACACTGTGCATTATTTTTTTGTTTCTTTTTTCTGTAATAAACTGCAGTTGGAGTAAGTTCCAAAACTTTGTCATAGAAATTACTTTGTTAGAAATGAGTCCAATGTATTGTTGGCTCCAAATGGGCATCTTCAAAAATAACTGAGACCCCAACAAGCTGCAAAAGTAGCTATTACCTGTTACTTTCAAAATTAATACTGCAAACTTCTGAAAAGAAATAAATAAATGAAATAATAAGTAAAACAGTCAATTACTTAAAAATAATACTCTTCCAAGTTGTTGAATCAAAATAAGGAAAAAAAATTTAAAAAAAAAAAAAAAAACGAAAGTTTTTAAGATTTATATAGTCCAATTTTTTTTTTTTTTTAAAGCATTTTGTCTGTTATCTTTATTCATAAAATATCATGTTCTTCACATTTAAACCATAAAATTCAATTCAACAGCAATATTGCAAAATAATTTTTATATGAGCATATATTTAGAATTTCCGATACACAGTCTCGTGCACTGGAGATACTTTTTTTTCCTTCTTCCCAATTCAGTGTTACCATTGCCCACTTTGAAATCGTTGAGTTTGTTAATAAAAAATTCGCTAAAGTGTTACAAAATATGAAATTGATACTAAAACAAATTCCAAATTAGGGCTTCCAGATGCCCATATTTGGTGAAGGATTAAGTTATTCCAAATCTGATGGCTCTAGATATCGTTGTTTTATCACAATGCCAGAAACATACATACATTTATGCAGATTCTTCATTTTTAGTTTATTTAAATATAAACCAATATATGGTGGCAACAGTTTGAAAAGTGAAACTAACATTTAAAGTTTTCAGCGCCAAACGCCAAAACGAAATTAATAACCCTTCTGGGCTAATAAAAAAAAAATAAAATATTTCAAGTGATACATTTTCTGAAAATAATTTATTTTTAAAAAAGGAAGCAATCAAAAATAATGAAACTGAAACCAAGAATATAGAAATATAGCATGAAGTAAACACAATGTTTCAAACTTTAAATTTTGTTTTCATAGTTAAATATATAAAATTTTAAAAAATAATCTCACTTCCTTCTGAAAAATATTACCCACCCAATGCAGAACAAAATGTAATTACATAAACAATGATAAAATATTATACTTCTCATGCAATAAATCTATCAAAATGCAAACATCACAAATACTTCAGAATTTTGTATATTTCTTAGAATCAGCTGCAAACACAGTATCAGATTTCAAAATAAATTTTTCAAATGAAAAGATAAAAATTTTAAAAATTTAATTGTTAAAACTGGTCATTAGTTACGGGAAAATAAGGAAGGTTTACTATGGTAATAAAACTCCCAATTTTTGTACAAAACATTTTTTCCTAAACATATGCAATTAACATTAAAGAGATATCAAAATATGTACATAACTTAAAAATAAAAGATATGTTTGAGATGTTACTACAATTATTTATTTCTTTAAATCTTTAAATAAATAATAAAATTGAAAAATTTTTAGAAAACTGGAAATTCAGATAATTTTTGTAAAGCTCTCAAAGTTGAATCACTACTATGCAGCTTTAAATGTTCTTTAATGTCCCATTTTCTTTAATATTACCCCCTTTTCACTCCTCCCTTTTTTTTAAATAAATAACTATCAATACGCCAGAAAGATGCATAGAGCAAAAATATTACAACCATACAAAGCCAAAAACATTGTCAAAAGTATTTGTGACAGATATTCATTAGGCTCTATATCATCTGCTCAATTTTAAAGATTAAAGAGAAATACTTGTCTGGAGTTAATGGGCAGTATATGCAATCTACACGACTGTTAGGAAAAGATGATGCCATAATTATCCAAATGAAGAAGACCTAAACTGCATGGATTAACAATCAGATACAAATATGAAATATGCCCATCATGTATGCCATGAACTGTCCATTATTGAAATGCTCAAGAACAAAAAACAGAACTGCAAAGACACTTTTGCCACAAGCATATAATAGCTAATAATTTACCCACTACAAGAAAAGAGCAATGTAGTTAACTTTAAGTTGCTAAGTGCAGGAGCAAAATATTAAAAAATTAGAATTAATTAAAGAATATTACATGCCTGCACAATTCGTCAATGTAAATGAGACAATTATTCTGCCAAGAAAAAAAAAAAAAAAAGCCACCTAAGAGCTACATTGCTAAAGAGGAAACATCTATGCCAAGTTTAAAGCGATCTAAGAAAATGACCTAAGATAACGATAAAGAAATTAATCCAAGATAAAGAAAAATAAGGATCAACTAATTTTAATGCTTCGTGGCAAAGTAAATTGTGATGGCAAGCTGAAATCATTGTGTTTATTTATATGTCAATGTAAACTTCTAGTCAAACTTCAATTCAGTTAAAAAAAATCTTGGATCACTGCCACATCTCTGAAGACTGATTTTTACCTTATTTCCTTCCAGAAGAAAAAAAAAAAAAAAAAAGTGAGAACAAAGCATTCCTTTCCACATCCATAGTTTTGGATAATGTACCCAGACATCCAATTTTCATACAAAATGGTTATCTAAGTGTTAATATTTTATTTTTTCTCCTAATACAACCTCGTATCTTCAGCCAATGGATGAAGGCACTATTGCAAACATTTAAAGCATTTTACATGAAACATTTCAATCTCGATATTTAAGATATAATAATATTAAATAATTCTTAAGCTACATACTCTCTTAAAATATTGAAGAAGGTCCTACTCTTAAACCTGAAAATTGCACTTGGTGAAGGTTTTGTCCTAACTTAAATGCAAATTTTTGAAGGATTTAAAGACCAAGAAATAATTCAGTCCGAAGGTAAATCAAAACTGTGCAATTTTCTGAAAAGTTAAACACTGAAGCTGCTAATAATGACCCTACTGATCATCTTAAAGCACAAAACAGTGAACTATCGAATGAAGAGCTGCTTACATTGTTACCTTATGAAAATAAAAAGGAAGAGACGAAAGAAGCAATAGAAATTCACATTGGAAGATTTATTGTTAAAAGACATGAAAAGGCTTTTGAGCAGACTGAAATGATCGTAATTTTTTTTACCTCTCAAGATCCAAATTATACGCAGAAATGTTACAGCAGATTTGATAAATTAATATGGTTGCTATTGTCAAATTCACAAAGAAAAGGAAAAGCAATATTGCAAGAAAACAACAACATTAAAAAAAAAACTTTTTTTTAATTAAAATGAAAAACATTTAATTGCTGTTAGTTCTATTTATCATATTTTTACATTCTGCTAACCTAAATACATAAGTAATGGAAGTAATGTCTTTTTGGTCCAAAATTCAAAAGCAAGTTTTCAGTGGAATCAGGGTTCACATAGCATGATTTTACTATTTTTGAAATGATTTCGGTTTATGCATTATGTCTTTTCATTCATGATAATTCTTATGTGAAATTTTGAAAAATTTATATTTCCCATATTTAAATTTTCTATGTTCATATTGAGAGTTGATTACATTTTGGGTAAAGTTGAACAAACAGAACTAGTATTTTACAGGAAGCTCATAACAGTTTTTAACAAAAAATTATATTAAAATATAATCCAAAGTTTTTCAATTTAAGGCTTATATAATAATGGAAATAACATATTAAATTTTGGCTAAAATTAATAAACCAGAAATGATACTTTACTTGAAGCTCTGAAGAGACTTTCACGCAAAACTATATTACAAGATAAAATAAAACTTTTCAAATTTGGTATTAAATAAGTATGTAAAACAATATGTGAGAGCTAAATGCTATGTGAATACGCTCATTATGAAGACAAGCTCTTGTTGTTGTACATAAAAATTGTTGAATCATCTATAAAAAATAATATTCTAAATTGTAAAAATAAATTAAGTGTACTGTTATTAATCTTCTGCTTCCTACTGATTCTAAGGATTAGTACTGTTTTTTCTTTTTTTAACCCCTTAACCTACGGTTTAGATTCGAAGATGTTGGGCTGCAATTGTATACAAGCCTGCGCAGCGTTCGGGACATTTGCACGATTTGTGTAACACACTAATCTAGGCATTCGTAAACATGACGGGCATCGCCCCCGTGGTAGGGCGGTCGCGGTTTGTAGATAGCACAGACAAGGCTCATGATGTATTTCTATTATCTCTTCGTATTGTGATCAGTTTCTAGTTGTTCTTGGTCACATTCGCACATCGAAATTTACGTTCATAAATTCTAGAGAAGCAACCCCACGAGATGCTCTCTGGAAAAATATTTTGTGATGAAAACAGTGAGAATTGTGCTAATAATTTTGCTAATGAAAGTGACAGTAGCTACGAATTATGTAATTTTCGAAGAAAGTATAGGCAAATAATTAGTGATGATTCATCCAGTGACGATCAACTACCAGAGTCCTGGCTTTGGAAAGAAAGAAGAAATAGTCCAAAAATCTGGGACTATACGATGACTCCTGGCATAAGAGAGGAAGCCTTATGTCAATTAAGAGGAAGTAGAGGAGAATTTGATATATTTAATCTAATATTTGATGACATATTTTGGAACAATATTGTAATCGAAATGAATCAGTATGCAGATCAAGTACTAAAAAATCCACATAGAACACGAAAAATCGACGACACTTGGTTTCCTGTAGACTCTACCAAAATTAAAAGATATTTTGCATTGACAATAATCATGTCACAGGTAAAAAAAAAAAAAAAAAAAAAAAAAAAAAAAAAAAACAAGAATCCAAATGAATTGGTCAAAGAAGGCTGTTATCGAAACACCCCTATTTAGAAAATCATTGCCTTTGAACAGATATGTGCAAATTACAAGGTTTTTGCATTTCTCAAAAATAATCTGGTTGCCGATACAGATAAATTGAACAAGATTAGACCTGTGATTAATTTTTTGAACCAAAAATTTAAAAATGTGTATATAATAAAAAAAGAAATTTCTATTGATGAATCTCTTATGAAATTCAGAGGGCGTTTATCTTATAAGCAATTCAACCCATCCAAAAGGGCAAGGTTCGGCATTAAATTTTATAAATTATGAGAGTCCGATTCCGGCTATTGTTATGAATTTAAAATATAACCGCCCACAATAAAATAAACTGTGATGATAGCGCTTCCGAAAATGTTGTCAAAGAGCTTTCTGAGACAGTGTTGCACAGGGGTCACACTTTGTACATAGACAATTGGTATTCCTCAAAATTATTTATGATGTTATCATATAAAT